TGGCTCCTAGAAATACCCACAGATTGACCCGGAGTTCAGAGCTAAACAGCCAAAAATAAACCTGATAAAACATCCCAGTAAAAAAATAAAATACATAAACCTGATATAAAATATACCAAACAAAACTGATTTTTTTTTTTTCCCAACAGTTTCCCACAGTGGAAAAGTCACCACAATTTGTGTTGAATGGATCACTCTTGAAACTGGCCATGGATTTTTCAGTCCAACAGGTCTCCCAGGAGGGGTTTTTCAATCCATTTAAATGTGGTGTGGGAAAACCTTTGATTTATATGACACAAGAATGAAATGTCTCGTTTAGTGTCTGCCTTAATTCTGTTCTTGATATGAAGTAATGACTTCATTGTGATTTCGGTCTCAAGTGACATTTTCCTTTCCTGTGGATGTGGCTTTAGGAAATTGGGATTTTTAAGACCTTAAGCTGCAGCCAGAGGTGGCTTTGCTGGAGAATTTTGTCTCTGATAATGCAAAAGGCATCTTTTTATTGCCTAAGTGTGGGATGTGCTGGGAGAATCAAGCCCTGATTTGGATATGAGAGGTACAGTTCACCCGAAAAACAAGGCCAACAGCACAGAGATGGCAGTTGGCAAAACGACAGCACAAGAAAAGTGGTAAAATGAGGAAAACATGGATTATCAAAGGATGTGACTTCAGCAGAATATTAGGGGTCATGATAATGAACTCAAGATAAAGCATCTTCATTTGGGAATTTATTTAAATGGATTGAAATTCTTGAAGCCACTCTGGTATATCTGAGTTTCTTGGAATTCCTAGACTGAAGAATTTGGAGTGCCAACGTTTTTGGCCCAGTTTGCAAGAAAAAGTTTCTGTTGGTGTTTTCATGGAGAGGGGGATGAATTCTCCATTCTTTCCTGCTCCAATTTGCCCTGACAGCTCAGAATGGGAGCAGGACCCCTCAGTTATGGGACATAGAGGGCAGTGGGCAAAACAACAGCACAAGAAATGTGGCAGAATGAGGAAAACATGGATTATCAAAGGATGTGACTTCAGCAGAATATTGAGGATCACGATAATGAACTCAAGATAAAGCATCTTCGTTTGGGCATTTATTTGAGTGGGTAGAAATCCCTGAAGCCACTCTGGCACGTCTGGGTTTCTTGGGATTCCTAGACTGAGAAATTTGGAGTGCCAACGTTTTTGCCCCAGTCTGTAAAAAAAGTTGCTGTTGGTGTTTTCATGGAGAGGTGGATGAATTCTCCATTCTTTTCTGCTCCAATTTGCCCTGACAACCCAGAATGGGAGCAGGATCCCTCAGTTAGGGGAAGAGGGGGTTTGTAACCACCGGATGAGGAGGGTTGGAGTATCTGTCACCTCTTCCTCCACTCCTTTTGTTTTCCTCTGTCTCAGCAAACCCCCATCTCGCTCCAGCCACAGCCAGAGCATTTGTTGTCCTTCAGTGCCAGGAACTGAAGAGCTCTCTCCTCTCAGATTACAGTTCCCAAGCAGGTACTTACAGACAATGATAAATTACCCCTTAACCTTTTCCTCATAACACCAGGCAACTCATCCCTCCCACCCTCGGATGTGTGTCCTCCCCCTCCTCCTTCCATCCCCATCCCCGTCCCTTCAGCTGCTCCTGCTGCTCTTCCCTGAACTCCAGTTAAACAACATCCTTCTGGGGCAGGGACTGAGTGAACTAAATCCAGGGGTTCAGGGGTACCCAGGGGTCCCTGGGTGTCCCTGGGCTGATGTTTCCTGCTCTTTGTTCCCACTACAGGTTTGCCCAGTGCTGTTTCTTTGTCATGACCACGACATTCCGTGTAAGATCCTCCACAACTCGTCTCCAAACCGCACTCATCTCTCCTGTCCCCCAAAGGGCACCTCAACACCTAAAATATCCCCTCTCCTCACGCCGCCCTTTTCAAGGGAAACACTCTCCAGGATGACCCAAGGACCCAGGGTTGTTGTAGTGATTAGTTTGACCGGTTGGATCACAGAATCCCAGAATGTGCTGAGCTGGAAGGGACCCACAAGGATCATCCAGCCCAACCCTCAGCCCTGCACAGGCCCAGCCCCAAGAGTCCCACCCTGTGCCCCAGAGGATCAGCCAAACATGTTCTGCACGGCTCAGAGAGCACATGTAAGAGGAGGACAAGCCTAGTCCTGCCTTATCCTGGCCAGGAATGTCTCCACCATCCTGGCTAAGCTGATTTTCCAACCTGTTTTGCTGGTCAGTACCTCACTACTCCTCTACAAATAAAAGGACCATGAGGACACGAGTGGAGGCTTCTCCTTCCACCCAGCTCAGCCCAGCCAGGCAGGATCTCACAGGGTTACAGAAACGCTGAGCTGGAAGGGACCCACAAGGATCATCCAGTCCAACCCTCAACCCCGCACAGGCCCAGCCCCAAGAGTCCCCAGAGGATCATCCAAACCCTCCTGGAGCTCTGGCAGCCTTGGGGTTGTGCCCACTGCCCTGGGGAGCCTGGGCAGTGCCCAACCAGCCTCTGGGGGAAGAACCTTTGCCTGAGATCCAACCTGAGCCTGCCCTGGCACAGCTCCAGCCGTTCCCTGGGTGCTGTCCCTGGTCCCCCCAGAACAGAGCTCAGTCCCTGCCCCTCCTCAGGCAGTCGGAACTGCAGTGAGGTCTCCCCTCACTCTCCTCTCCAGCTGAACACACCAAGTGCCCTCAGTGTCCTCACACAGCTTAAAATCAAGGCCCTTCCCCACCCTTCCTTCGGATGCAGTGGTTGTACCGGGTTTGGAAAAGCTGATTCTACTCCATGGCAGGACAGGTGGTCTGGAAGATCCCCTTTGATCCCAGTTTGGGAGAATTTATGACATTCTAGCCCTTAGGCAATATGTAAATGGAAAGGAACCCTGTGGAGAGACAAAGACCTTCCCTGTGGCTATGGAGAAACCTGGAGAGGTCTCTCTCCTATCCAGCATGACATGGAGTCATTTCTGACCTCCAGACCTCATAGCACATCCTCTCCCTTTTCCCTAAGCCAGGCAAACATGGGAATGAGCCTGAGACAACCCTTCCAGCTGTTCTTCTGACACATTCTTCTTCTGAATTCCAGCCCCACCGTGACAGACTCCACCAGTGTTAACTCCATCCACGAGACGTTCCCAGCGAGCAGAAAGGTCCCTTTCAGCCTGGATTGATCCCAGTGCAGGGGATGCTTGGTGGGAATGAATGAATGAATGACAGACAAAAAAAGTGCTGGCATTTCTGAGAGGCAAAGAGGCTGCTTTGTGTCTGGTGGCTGAGAGGGGGAGAAGAAAAGACTGCTTGTCAGGCTCAGTGAGGGGTTTCAGACGGAGGGAAGTGTTTATGGCTCTTCCTAATTGCTGTAATATTCCTGCCACAGCCACGGTGCTTTTGTGGCTGCTTCACTTGCTCTGACAAATCAGCTGCCAGGAGGAGAGAAAACAGTAAAGTAAATAATTTAAGCAATGAAAGGAAGGGTGGCTGATGCTGCTGGTTTCTCCAGCCCTGCTCTCTGCCCACAGGAAGGTGCCCAAATGACACACCAGGACTGACCCTGCCCCGCCCAGTGCTGGCCTGCTGACCTCTGGCTGTGGCCACTCTGCTGATGCCTTTCCATACAATCCAAGTTAATCCGCACAATTTCCAGCTTAATTATGGAATCACAGAATCACCAAGGTTGGAAAAGACCTCCAAGGTCATCGAGTCCAACCTGTGACCAATCCCCACCTTGTCCCTCAGCCCAGAGCACTCAGTGCCACGTCCAGTCCTACCTTGGACACCTCCTGGGATGGGGACTCCAAACCTCCCTGGGCAGCCCCTGCCATGGCCTGTCAGCCCTTTCCAGGAAGAAATTCTTCCTGATGTCCAACCTGACCCTCCCCTGGCACAGCTGGAGGCCGTTCCCTCTCCTCCTGTCCCTTGTTCCCTGGCAGCAGAGCCTGACCCCCCCGGCTCCTCCCTCCTGTCAGGGAGTTGCAGAGCCAGAAGGTCCCCCCTGAGCCTCCTTTTCTCCAGGCTGAGCCCCCCCAGCTCCCTCAGCTGCTCCTGCTGCTCCAGCCCCTTCCCCAGCTCCGTTCCCTTCCCTGCACACGCTCCAGCCCCTCCATGTCCTTCTTGTCCTGAGGGTCCCAAAACTGCCCCCAGAATTTGAGGTGTGGGCTCAGCAGTGCCAGTACAAGGGAATGGTCCCTCCTTTGGTCAGTCTTAGAGGTCTTTAGATTTAGAGGTCTTAGAAGTCTTTTGCAACATAAATGATTTCATGATTCTGTAAATTGTTCTTCCTCATCCACAGGACCTGGCAGGAAACGTCCTGTTGAGTTCAGCTTATTATTGAAGCACGAGGAGCAGGGAACATATTTTGGGGGATGTTTGGAGTTCAACATCACCATGTGCAACCTCAGAAGTGAGGTCTTGGCCCTCAGAGGTGAGGTCCTGGTCCAATGTCTTTCTTTAAAAACAGGTTTCCCAGGAAAGCTGACCGTGTTTGGTCGTTGGATGACAAAGGAGCCACGAAGCTGCAGTCAGACCGTGAGCTCTTCCACATGTGCACTTGCTATGGCACCAGATGTGGTCCTGGGGAAAAGGAACTCCTCTTCCTTGCCAAAATCTCCTTCATAATTTATTATTGCCCCCCCCCAAAAAAAAAAAAAATAGCTTCTGAGGAGTCTGGGGGCTCATTTTAGGTGTGTGAGGCCGTTTTTCCTCAGTGTGGAAATCCAAATTTGACAAAGTTTTAATTAGTTAGTGGGACTTATTGTCTTGGACTGGTAACACCTGAGGCCTGGATGAATGTCTGCATCAAATATATATGGCTTGGGGTGAGGGATAATGTTATAAACTCCTGGTACAGGCAGGATTTTAATCATATTCACGGGCATGAAGCCTTCCTTGAGGCAGCAGATGAACCAGCAGAAAACTGCAAACCCACTGAAAGAAAGGGGGCAGCAGTTTGGCAACTGGCTTAACAGTTAATTAACAGTTAACAGTTAATTTAAGAGTTTAACACCCCAAAATAACATTGCCACTCCATGGCTGGATAGATGGGAGACAAAAAAAAAAAACAAAAAACATCTCTTTTCTTGAATATATTTTACCTCTTCCCAACACCTGGAGAGCTTTAGGTGCCCAAGTTCATCCCCACTTTATCCCGGGGAAGAAACTTCTCAGCGCTTCAAACCTTTGAGGAAAAATTGCATTTCTATTTCTCGGTACAGAAATCGTACAGAAGATTTGCGCGGCAAACGCACAGAAAGGTTTGTTGTGGCGGTGGTTGGAGGAGAAAGAGCTCTCGGGAAAAAAAATCCCGGCGCTCTCATCGCTCGCCTGGAGCGCCGAGGTGGGAGGACAAAGCCCTTTGAACTCGCCCCACTGCTAATTAGCCTCGCTCGGCCCCTCGTCCTTAACGAGGGTATTGTCTGCAAATCGCTGCCTTTTATCCTCGGCAGGGAGGATAAAGTGCCTTTTCCAAGCAAAACGTACAAGTGTTGCCATGATCCGATGTCTCCGTAAATCAATCGCGAGGGTGTGGCTGGACACGGCCCTGCAAAGCGGAGTGGAAGCAGAAGGATCATTTCTAATTCCATTGAACTCTTAGAATATTCATCCCTTTTTTTTTTTTTTCCCCTTTCCTCCTCTTTTTGATGCCAAGGGGAGCAGGGGTCAGGAGTGGCTTCACCCTTTGGGAAATACTGAGCTGAGGAAGCAGCTGCCTCGTTCTTTAAAAGCTCTGAGATGTTCATTCTGCCTTAATTTTTATTTTTTTTTAATTTTTTTTTAGGATCTGAGTTTTATGTTATACCCATTTAGTCCGCTGAGTGAATTCTCTGCTTCTTGACCTCATGAGGGTCCACAAGGTACGTACATTAGTCCATCCTTAACTCATTTCAGGAGTCAGAAAACTCAGGAATTAGATCCAAGCCCCATTCTAGGGATATTTAACCCCAGGGAGAATCTCCTAGAAGCAGCAGGGCATGCTCCAAACCACTAATCTTCACCATTATCCCAGATATCTTCCCTCTATCCCCACGTTTTCACACCCCGAGGAGGCAACACCCACCTTCAAAGTTGTGCAACAACACCAACTACAACACACAGTGCTTTGTCTTAGATCCTTTCATCTGAAAATACAGACATTTAAGAACAATTTCATGCCAGCCAGAGGAATCTGGAGGAGAGGAATCACTCCTGGGATTTAGCATGAACAGGAGGTGCTGTGCTTGGAAGGACAGAGATCCCTCCTTGGCCAGAAGGTTTCAACTCTGCTTGGAGGTTTGCAGACTTTGCAGAGGCTCCCAGGAATCTGAAGAGAGACACCCACAGGGATTCTCTACAACAGGCATTTCACCAAATCCCAGGAATCTCTGCATCTTTAGGCACCTTTAGGTTCAACTTCACCAGTGGAAAAAGAATTCCTGTATTTCCAGGCTGCTCAGAGCTGCAGAGATGATCCGGATCATACGAGTCACTCAGCTATTATAATTAGAGAATCATGGAATGGTTTGGGTTGGGAGGGACCTTAAAGACCATCCAGTGCCACCCCCTGCCATGGGAAGGGACACCTTCCACTAGACCAGGTTGCTCCAACCTGGCCTTGGACACTTCCAGGGATCCAGAGGCAGCCACAGCTTCTCTGCCCAACCTGGGCCAGAGCCTCCCCACCCTCACAGACAGAAATTCCTTCCCAATATCCCATCTATCCCTGCCCTCTGGCACTGGGAAGCCATTCCCCTTTGTGCTGTCCCTCCATGCCTTGTCCCCAGTCCCTCTCCAGCTCTCCTGGAGCCCCTTTAGGCCCTGCCAGGGGCTCTCAGCTCTCCCTGGAGCCTTCTCTTGTCCAGGGGAACCCCCCCAGCTCTCCCAGCCTGGTTCCAGAGCATCCAAGACCATCTCATTCCACCCCCTGCTGTGGGCAGGGACACCTCCCACTAGCCCAGGTTGCTCCAACCTGCCCTTCAACACCTTCCAAGGATCCAGGGCCAGCCACAGCTTCTCTGCCCAACCTGTGCCAGGGCCTCCCCACCCTCCCAGGGAGGAATTTATGAGTTTATTCCAACTCATTCCAACCTGGAGACCAAAGTGTGCCCTTAGAGCAGCTCAGTTGCTTTAATCCTTGTCCTTTCCCTCAGCTGAGGAGTCAACCTGGGATCCTCCAGCCTTGGGACATCAGAAAATGCTGGAGGAAGTTTCCTCATCCATGTTTGGATGGCAGGAGGGACTAAAGGCTGTGACTTCCCAGTTACGAGACCCCAGTGCTCCTTCCCACTCACGCAGTTGGGGTGTAATTTGAGTGACAGGTCACCCAAAAATCTGTGCTGGTTTGGTTCCCTTCCAGGGAAAAAGTCCAGATGAAGGAGGAGAACATCCCTTCTCCCTGCTCCTCATGCAGCCACTTGTGAAAATCATTAGCAAACACACACTGAGAGCAAAATAAGAAGATTAAGAAATGAAATCACCATTTCATAATAGAATGCTTGGCTTGATGAGGGGGAAAAGCAAAATTAAACATGCTGGAGTCCCTCAGCACCATCCTGTCTCCTGTGGAACAGCAAAAGAGGGCTAAAAAACCAGGAGAAAGGCTGAGATTTAATATTGTCTCCAAAGTGCAAAGGGTCAACGACAGGTGTGTCGTAATTTTCTCTGCAAGTCCCAGATTTTGGGTGAACTCCTACAGGACAACACAGGAGAAGGGATGTCTGTGTGCTCTCAAGGTGGGAGTGCATGTCCCCTTCTCCAGGTCAAACAAGTTATTATGACTGAAATCCTGATTCCTAATATTTAAAGGAATCTGAACTCTGGGGTTCGTCTGCCCCAACCTGAGAAATGCCACTCCCTGGGCCCATCATTTTTTATGCTCACCTGGACCCCAGCAGCAAGAAATCCACATTCCCAGTGGATGATTTGTTCTGGATCATTTTTGGTGGGATGAATCACGCCACTGAAGTGCCACCAGGAGAGCTGAGGAGGAATATTGTGATGGGAATGTTGCCGTGAGGACAAGAGAGGCCACCTGCACAAAGCACCTTCTCTGCAGATCCTGGCTCCTTATTTCCCTATGGATAGAAACAACCTCTGGAATGGAAGGGAGGGGATCACACATGTCCCAGCCACCCAGGCCTGGCAGTTCTGTGGAGCAGGGGACATGAATTCCTCTTTACAGGTATAACAGGAATAACACATGGATCTGGATCGTTCCTGCACCTGCTACTTCCACTTCTGGGGTTGTTCCTCTTGGGATATCCCCAGAATCCCAGGACTAGGAAAGGTAAACCCCAAGGGATCTGAGGTCTCTTCTGGAGCAACAGTGGTGCAGAAAGAGGTGACCCAAGGGTTCTGTTGTCCCCACAATGCAGATATTTGATTGGGAATTGAATCCCACCCTCCCTCCCTTCACCTGCACGAGGAGGGTGCGTGTCAAGGTTGGATCTCAGGAGAAGGTTCTTCCTCCAGAGGGTGGTTGGGTGTTGGATCCCAAAATATAATATCTGCAGGGAGAGATTTGAGTGATCTCTGCAAAAAACCATGGGCTACAGAAGCTGGGAAAAACCCTCTTTATTGACCTCAGCCCTGTGGAGTTTTCCTGCCTTCTCCAGCAGGATATGAAGAGACACTTTGCATGATGTTATCACATGCCCTGTCCAAGCCAGAAAGTCCAAATCCTGAGCTCATCAAACCTGTGCAGAAGACCTATTGTGCCTTAAGTCTCCCTTTGTCTTCCCTGGATCCTCGAGTTCTGTAAACCCAAATTCCCCCGAGATAAAATGAGTTTTCCCCTATGAGGTACGTGTAAGACCCCAAATTTGTTAACCTGAGTTTTCCCCTGATGTCATCCCCTGAAACCCCCCTGTTGGTAATAATTGTAATAGTTACAACCCCCTGTTGAATATGTAGATCTTAAACCCTTCAAATATGAACTTGTGAGTCCAAGAAAGCATTCCAGTTTCTGCCTCCAAGCTGGGATGGTCATAGTTATTGATTCCCTACAGCTGGGCCCTGCCCAGGCTCCCCAGGGCAGTGGACACAGCCCCAAGGCTGCCAGAGCTCCAGGAGGGTTTGGATGATCCTCTGGGGCACAGGGTGAGACTCTTGGGGCTGGGCCTGTGCAGGGCTGAGGGTTGGACTGGATGATCCTTGTGGGTCCCTTCCAGCTCAGCACATTCTGGGATTCTGTGAAAATTAAAAAAAAAAAAAAAAGGGTTAAAACCCAATCAGAGGGAGGAAGTTAATGCTGCCTGTCTTCCCAGAAAACACCACTCAGCTGGAGAATGAAGGGGAGGATTGTTTGGGCCCTCACAGTCCAAGGCACTGGACGGAGCGTGGCACAAACAACCCCTTCAACCCCAGCCGTGACCTGCCCTGCTCACCCCTGTGTGCCAGGGCAGGGGTGACATTTCGGGCCAGACACGTGACACAGGGCATGAGATCACCAAAATGCTCCCCCCACCATTCCCAGCACCACGGGGTTCACTCAGAGAGGCATCATTTGCAGCAGATGAACTGTCAGTCGCGGGAGGGAAAAGCTGCTGCTGCTGAAACCCTCCCATTTAGCAGCACAAACCTCCTCGTTAATGCTCTCACTAACATTATGATTTTTAATTTAGCCCTGTGAGGCACCAGGGTCAGGAGCAGCCTCCAGTTGTTATTTGACTCTCCAAAAGCCAGTGGTGAGGAACAGCCCCTGCCTGGCCAGGCTTCTGCTCTGCTGGGACTTTCCAAGGGTTTACAATGAGATCAAGAAGATGAGCAATGACCTCTTTTTTCCCTTCTTTTTCCTTATTCTTTGTGGCAATTCTTTCTTCAGCAACGGACACCTTAATCCACAGGCTGACGTCCAGAGTAAAGTCACGGAATCCTGGAATGGTTTGGGTTGGAAGGACCTTAAAGCCCAGCTCATCCCACCCCCTGCCACGGGCAGGGACACCTTCCACTAGACCAGGGTGCTCCAACCTGGCCTTGGACACTTCCAGGGATCCAGGGGCAGCCACAGCTTCTCTGCCCAACCTGGGCCAGGGCTTCCCCACCCTCCCAGCCAACAATTCCTTCCCAATATCCCATCTAAATCTCTTTTTGATTGGACTAAACCTCCAGAGAATGATTTCATTTGTTGTTGGCAGCAAATTCACCCGGGGCCAACCAGACTGAGGCACTTCAGGGCTGCAGCAGAGTCAAGACCTCTTGTCCTCACACAATATTCCATCTTTTAACACTGATCCCCCCACTTTCAGCCTTTCTTGGAGGTGAAGATTTCACATCCCACATGACTGGTCAACGTGGATAAGAGTCCACTGGATGACAACCAGTTTATCCTGAGAGATGCTGAAATGTTGTCTTCCATCACACATCTGTGTTTTGCCAATTCAGGGAGAGAAAACCTTTCATTTGACTCTGGAAAAAAAAAAATTAAGGAAAAAATAAAATGTATACATAAATAAAATTATAAATAAATAAAATTATAAACAAAAATAAAATTTGTAACGCTATCTAAAAATTATAAATATATAAAAGAAATCAAATTTAACAACGGGAAACCCTAGTTACACATCCAGGTTCCACTGGTGGTCAGACACAAGGCTTCGTTTCACTCAACAAAGGACCAAATTTAAAACCATTAAAAATGAAAATTAAAAATTAATTTCCACAGTGGAATATCTTGTGGAAGAGGATGGGATATAATATGGAAGAGAAATGAAATTTCTGTCCTGGGAGAAGTTCTGATGTTTCCTGTTTTGGGTCAGGGTGCAAACCTGAGGTGTAATAATAATAATAGAAAGAAAACTCTCAATTGCTCTTTTTTCATTCCCATAAATAACAAAATGTTCTTCATTCTTCAATGAAGTGAAAGCACCTGACAGGCCAGAATTGAAGTTCTGTGTTTATTTGTTGAAATTATCCCAAATGTCACTTTTTTCCTATCCCTGTCGTGTTCCAGGACTGGATTCCTCAGCCAAAACCAGTTTTTTAGGTCCACCTGGGGTTAATCTCAAGTTCTGATGCCACCAGGCAGTGTCCCACATGTGTTTCCACTCAGGAATCCAGGGAACTCCTTGCTCTGATCCAGGTGTATTTTACACAGATGCACCTTTTCCCATAAATTTTAAAGCTTCAGACCAAACCAAACCCAAAGGCTTGCTCTGACTCCATTGGTGAAAACAAATGGGATTTTTACAAGCTAAAAATTCCTTACAAAAATTAAATGGGTTTGACTTCCTTCCCTTTCCAGCTGTCCTGTCTGGCACTGGAGAGCTCCCAGCTCTGGCTGATGGCACAACATCAACCCAAAGCATCAGAAACATCAGAAATTACCCAAAATTGGAGTCATTTTGTGCTCTTTTCTAAAGGAGATGCTACTACAGGCAGAGGAAGAAGGCAGACAATGTGCTGACTGAAATGACCTTTGGGGAGTAAAAAGGGATGTTGGATTGTCCCTGTCTCCAAGCACTTGTTGGACTATTAATGATCTTCCTTCCTCTGGGAAGATTTAGGCACTAAAATGAATTGCTGGTACTTCTCTCACTCATTTATTTGTTAATTTAGGCTGAGCTGTAAATATTTACCTTCCCTTTTTATTCCATCTGAGGAACTTCCAGCTCTCTGAGTGCGGACGTGGCTGTTCATCCAGCAGAGCTCTCAGCTCCCCAAGGCTGGCCCAGGTGACCTCGAAATTTGGGGTTTGTGGCTCACATCTCAGCTGAGCACTCAGTAGGTGTGCAAAGGGAGGTGGGACTGCAGTGTCACATCCCAAAACAAGGTCTGGAGATGTTTGCAAACCACCCCCAAGATAGGACACACGAGGTTATAACTCACTGCTGGAGTCTGGTGACTCTGGAGCCTGGTGCTGCCAGGACAGAGCTCAGAGTGCTCCAGGATCTGTCCCTTGGCTTGGCACAGCATCACCCGAATGCTGGGGCCACTCACTTTGGAGTTTGTGGGCAGAGAATCCTGGAATGGTTTGGGTTGGAAGGGAACTTAGAGACCATCTGGTTCCACCCCCTGCCATGGGCAGGGACACCTTCCACCAGCCCAGGTTGCTCCCACCTGGCCTTGGACACTTCCAGGGATCCAGGGGCAGCCACAGCTTCTCTGCCCAACCTGGGACAGGGACTCCCCACCCTCACAGACAGAAATTCCTTCCCAATAGCCCACCCAAATCTCCCCTTTTCCGATCTGAAGCCATTCCCCCTTGTGCTGTCCCTCCATCCCTTGTCCCCAGTCCCTCTCCAGCTCTCCTGGAGCCCCTTCAGGCCCTGCCAGGGGCTCTCAGCTCTCCCTGGAGCCTTCTCTTGTCCAGGGGAACCCCCCCAGCTCTCCCAGCCTGGCTCCAGAGCAGAGGGGCTCCAGCCCTGGCAGCAGCTCTGGGGCCTCCTCTGGACTCTCTCCAGCAGCTCCACGTCCTTGTGCTGTTCCCAGGGCTGGAGGCAGCTCTGCAGTTCAAAAAATACAGTTTTGACAGAAAATTTTGGGAAGGATAGAGAAGAATCCAGCATCTGGAGCAGTCAGAGCACCTCACAGGCACAGCCTGGCAGCATCTCTGTCTCTGCCAAGGAGCTGCAGGAATTTTCAGGGATGAGAAGGGAAGAGGGCACTGGAAGCAGCCGTTTGGGGAGGCGGCACGTGGGAGAGTTTCAAAGGTCTCCCTGTGCCTGCAGGGCCCCTGTGCAGCTCCTTGAGCCAGGCTGCTCATTCCCAAATTGATCCTTCCTCTAATCCCCTCCCCGGAGGCACCATTTAGAGCACTCAGGAACTGGCTGTTATTTGGGATTGTTGCAGAGCGGGGTTTTTTTGGGAAAAGCATCGTGATGCTCCTTCCCTGCTTTGCAAAGCGATCTCTCTGCTTTGGAGCCCTTTGTTCTCCTTTGATTTGTCTCCAGCCTTGTTTGGGAGGGGGGGGTGGAATTTGATGGAGTTTTACTGCCTCATATAACACTTATCACCAGCAATCAATATTGATTTTAACATCGTGTTTTGTTTTAAGGCTCCTTTTGTTGGTTTGCCTTCACTGTGCATGTTAAGAAGGTTTATAAAACCCACGATATTCTCTCATTTCGTGAAATCTTAGTGGGATAATTACCTTGCTCTGCTGACAGATCGTTGTGCCTGAATTATATAAAACCACCTTTCAGCTCCTGAAGGATGTTTTCCTACCTTGCCCTGCACTGGGGGGGTGTGAATGCACCGAGAAATCATCCCTGTGTCCAGTGGGAGATGATTTCCCTTTTTGCCTCACAGGGAAACTCACTCCCAAATGCCACCCAAAGTTTTCGGGGAGTGTGACCTTTCCTGTAAATAAGAAATCAAACAAATGAGAAAGAATAATGGCCAAGCCTTCAGGACAGGAGCTGAACCATTTTCCACCTGCCTACACCCAACAGAGCGCGGGAACAACCGGCCAGGTCGGGAAAGAATGGCTCTGGGAAAACCCTTCCTGATGGAGGAAGGAATTATATCCAGGAGGATATAGTTATATATAATTATATATATATAATTGGTCCTTCTGCTTTCAAGATGTGCCTCTGAGACAGAGAACTTTGATCCTCTTTTGTCATGCTCGTGCACCAGTTTGGCTACGAGGATGTCTACGGTCAGTTTTGGCATCTCTAAGGACAATTTTGGTGTCTCTGAGGTCAGTTTTGGCATCTCTGAGGTCAGTTATGGCATCTCTAAGGGCAGTCTTGGCATCTCTACAGTCAATTTTGGTGTCTCTATGGTCAATTTTGGTATTTCTAAAGTAAGTTTTGGCATATCTAAGGTCAGTTTTGGTACCTTTATGGTCAATTTTGGTGTCTCTAAGGTCAGTTTTGGCATCTTTAAGGTCAATTTTGGAGTGTCTAAGGTCAATTTTGGCATTTCTAACATTAATTTTGGTACCTCTAAGGTCAGTTTTGGCACCTCTAGGGCAAATTTTGGCATCTCTAAGGTCAGTTTTGGCGTCTCTAAGGTCAGTTTTGGTGTCACATGAGCCAAAGTTTTGAGGGGTGTCCCACTGTGCCACCTTTTCTCCTCTGTATGACCCCAGGACGTTTCCCTTCTGGTGCTTTCCAGGAGCTGCATTTCCACTTTCCAGGCCGGATGGAGGGATTCGAAGGCAAGGATTTGTTTGAGACACACACAAAGCTACTTTTCCAACCCATGGAAAAGGAAACTCCGGGAGAGCTGATGAGCTCAGAGGCCTTTTCCAACCTCGGCGGTTCCATGTGCAGGGGGGGAAGAGCTGAGACCATCCCGGGAGCTGGACAGCGATGGGATGAGATGGAAAATCATGAGCTGGGGCTGACAGCCTGAAGGCTGCCCCTAAGGGACATTTTGGAATGAGAGCTCCCTGGGCTGGGACACCAATTGACACCAAATTAATTAACGACTGTGGGAAAATGAAGGGATTTGGTGCATTTAATGCAGCTGCACGTGATTGCTCAGCCTTGATTTCTTAGTCAGAATAAATGGGACCCTCAGAGGTGACAAGTGAGGGCCAATGACCATCAAGCTCCAGTGATGCCTTGATGGCTGTGAAAAAGTTCATTTTCCCACATAGAGTTTGTAGGTCTTTGGTACCAATTTAATTAAGGATTGTGGAAAAATGAAGGGAGTTGGTGAATGGTTGACACCAATTTAATTCAGAATTGTGGGAAAATCAAGTGACTGCACACTGTGACACGATGCATTCATCAAACTCATCATGACTTCTCCGTTCTCTCCCTTCCCAGGGTTGATGCCTCCAGACAATCATCTCCTTATGAATCAGCCCTTCCAAAGTCATTGCTCCCGGGAATCTCTCCCCCAAAAGGAAAGCACGCAAAAGATCATGCTGCCTTTTCATCTTCCTCAGGCCCTGCATCCCCCCCAAACGATCCCTGTGGTCTGTCAGGGAGGGCACTGAACCCCTCGACAGCCGGGATTTCGGAGCTTCCGGAGGCACAGCGAGGTAGAAATGCAAGAGATAAAACCGTCCTGCTTTTGGATAATCCCCAGCAAACAGCACTTTCCTTAATCCCTCCCAGGGTGTTTTATTGGAGATCTGTGCTGTAGCTGGCTCTTCCCAGGCATTTGCTTCCCAGTTATTAAACACAGATCACTGGTAAGTGGATGGTCCCTGCACAAAAGCAGCAGCACTGAGGACCACACAGCCCAGGGCTCTCCAGATGTTCCAGGGAAGAGCTGAGCACTTCACTGGGATTAGTCTTTGGAGGCCTGGGCTCCCCTTGCCAAGGCTCTGGTTTGCCTCTGCACTGCTGGGCACTGCCAACTGCAATCAGGAAAAAACAGATCGGATGCAAGTGAAATCCAGTTGGGAATAACTGAGCAGTGGTGCCACCCAGGGCTCGGTACTGGGGCCAGTGCTGTTTAATATCTTTATCAATGTGGGCAAAGGGAATCAAGGACACCCTCAGTCAGTTTGCAGATGACACCAAGTCGGGTGGGATCTCCTGGAGGGCAGGAAGGCTCTGCAGAGGGATCTGGACAGGCTGGATCCACGGGCTGAGACCAACGGTGTGAGGGACAACAAGGCCGGGTCCTACATGGGGGTCACAACGTCCCCTGCAGCTCCAGGCTTGGGAAGAGTGGCTGGAAAGCTGGAAAAGGAGCTGGAGTGGCTGAACATGAGCCCAGGTGGCCGAGAAGGCCAATGGCCCCTGGTCTGTGCCAGCCCTGGTGTGTCCCAGCCCCAGGGCAGTGACTGTCACCCTGTGCTGGCACTGCTGGGGCACCTCCAGCCCTGGGGGCACTTCTGGGACCCTCAGACAGGAGAGACATGGAGGGGCTGGAGCGTGTGCAGGGAAGGGAACGGAGCTGGGAAGGGGCTGGAGCAGCAGGAGCGGCTGAGGGAGCTGGGGGGGCTCAGCCTGGAGAAAAGGAGGCTCAGGGGGGACCTTCTGGCTCTGCAACTCCCTGACAGGAGGGGGGAGCTGAGGGGGGGATTGAGCTCATCAACACAACCATGAAATGACCAGAAGGTAAAATATCCCATTTAGGGAGTTTAGACTTTCAGTTTTCCTGGTTGTATCAGAATCCCAGCACATCAAGGATTCCCTCTGTCTCACCTCACGTGAAACTCCTTGGAAAAAAAAGGACTCCCTATGCTTTTGATTTGCTTTGCAGGTTTTGGGGGGTTGGCTGACCATCCACAGTCCCTAATTCCTGACCCCTGGGGCTGCAGAGCCCCTGTCCAGCCTTTTCCATCCATGTGTCCCAGCACTTTGCACTGCAGAGCTCTCCTTGTCCTGCCCAACCACTGGGAAAGGGCCACAGGATGCAACAAAAGCTCTTGGAAGCGCTTTAAGCACCGAGCGATTCCTGAATTCCGTGACTCTTATTCATGGTGAGCTGCAACCAGGATTAGAAACTGCTCAGAGCTGCCCAGCTGAGCGAGGGCTGTGCCCAGCAGAGCCCATCACCAGCCTGTCCCCCAAAGCCAGGCCTGGAAGCTCAGCACACCTCGCACCGAGGGCTCGACACGTCTGAGCGAGCAGGAGCCACCGACCCAGCCAAGGTGGAATCCCACATTATGGCTGGATTTGCTGCCTTTCCTCCCAGCTGGGAGCTCTGGAGAGGAGGTTTGTTGAGCTGCAGTTAAGCAGGTGCAGATGGCAGGGCCAGCTGCCTGTTCCTTTGTTCTGGTTGTCACCACAGCGGCGGCTCTGGGTCAATTAACACTTGTTGCTGGGTGGCTGCTGGTTTTCCCCCCATGTAACAGCCCTGCCTCAGCTGGAGTTCAGCTCCAAAAGCCAGCTGAGAGCTGATTCCTGGATGGAAATCCTGCAAAACTCTCTGGCTTTTAGTGGTTTCTGTGGTTGATGTTTTCCAAACCACGACAATGGTGTAACTCAACGATTTAGGAGATAATAATTCACCAAGTTCTTCTTTAATGGGGAACTAAAACAAGCCAGAGGGTTGTGCTGCCCTGGTTCCACAGTCTCAGATCCACAGGGGCCTCCACGGGCTGGAGAAATGGGCCAACAGGAACCTCATGATGTTCCACAAGGAGAAGTGCAAAGTCCTGCTCGTGGAGAGGAACAGCCCCAGGCACGAGTTTGTGCTGGAGACCACTCAGGTGGAAAAGAGCTTGGAAGAAAAGGCTCCAGGGGTCCTGGTGGGCACCAAGTTGACCAGTAGTGAGCTCTTGTTGCCAAGAAGTCCAATGGGACCCCGGCTGGCACTGCCAGCAGGTCGGGGAGGGGATCCTGCCCCTCTGCCCAGCACTGGTGAGGCCACACCAGGAGCACTGGGTCCAGTTCTGGCTCCCCAGTACAGGAGGGACAGGGACAGACTGGAGAGAGCCCAGGGAAAGGTTACAATGATGATGAAGGGACTGGGTCATCTCACAATGAGGAAGGGCTGAGAGAGCTGGAACTGTTCAGCCTGGGGAAGAGAAGGCTCAGGGTGGGGTTTTTGTCAGGAATTGTAGTGACAGGACAAGGAGTAATGGGGGCAAGTGGAAATTGGGGAAATTTAGGTTGGATATTAAGAAGAAATTCCTCCCTGTGAGGGTGGGGAGGCCCTGGCCCAGGTTGCCCAGAGAAGCTGTGGCTGCCTCTGGATCCCTGGAAGTGTCCAAGTCCGGGTTGGAGCAACCTGGGACAGTGGAAGGTGTCCCTTCACTTTTAAAGCCTGAAACTCCTCATTCTTGGCTTTTGACACCCTGATGACAGAGTTTATCATCCAAGTTGCTCCCACAGCACTGCTGAGAGCAAACTTCCAATGTGTGGGATAAGAGTTTTTTGCCCTTAATATGCTTGGTCATCTCTCCCTAAGGCAGGAGCAGGGACAAAATGTTATTTGTCCATAAATTATGCCTTGGTTGTAGTGCTCCTGTTGGGAAGACATCACTCATAAAGACCCTCATGGCACCAGAAAAGAGGCAGAACCTGGGTGGAGCTGTGGATGCATCTTCAGGGATAGTATCATAGAATCATGGATTGGAAGAGACATTAAAGATCATCTTGTTTCACCCCTGCCATGGGCAGGGACACCTTCCACTAGCCCAGCTTGCTCCAACCTGGCCTTGGACACTTCCAGGGATCCAGGGACAGCCACAGCTTCTCTGCCCAACCTGGGACAGACCCTCAACACCCTCCCAGCCAGGAATTCCTTCTCAACATCCAATCTATTGGATTCTTTACCCAGATGGGAGAGAATCATCATTTGACCAAGGTCTGGCCTTGCTCCATGGTTGGAACAGAGACCAGGAGATCCCTGAAAATCTGGGCTGACTGTCACTGCTCCCAGGAAAAAGAGTGAGGACAGCAGGTGATGCTACACTTTCTATTCCCCACACACCCACAGCCCATTCCCAGTGAAAACCAGATTCCAAGAGTCTGGGCTGATAAGGTTTTGGTATCTTGACTATTTGTTGTGCCCACCCAGAGGTGGTGGAGTCCCCATCCCAGGAGGTGTCCAAGGAAGGACAGGACGTGGCACTCAGTGCTCTGGGCTGGGGACAAGGTGGGCATCGGGCACAGGGGGGACTCGATGACCTTGGTGGTCTTTTCCAGCCTCAATTATTCTTTGGTTCTAAAGACAAAGGAAAATCAGAGAAACTGGAGTTTTCTTTGTGGTAAAATCCCTCCTTTTCAGCTTCTCTGAGATCACAAAGGGTTTCTGATTTTGCCCACAGCAAAACAGTTCTAATTTCCCTCATTTTGGGGCAGTGGAGCAGCCACAGCCACGCTGCACACACATACCCACAGCTATCCAGGACATCTGTCAGGAGGCAAAGGCTTTGCTCCATGATGGAATGACTCCTCCATGCCCCACAGGGCATCTGGATTTGATTTTTCCTATCATTTTTTCTGAGAAAGAGAAAAAAAGCCCCGAAGCAGCTGAGGGGGTTGCTGAAGGTCACAGTGTTCAAATGCTTAAAGGGGCCCTGGACCTGGGGTTCAATTCCCAGTTCAAGAGTCCAGTACTTTGGAGAACAGACAGGATTTGAAAATCCCCCAGGTGTGAGGAGAGCTGGAATCCAGGTGATCCATCCCTAGAATTTAAATTTAGCCCTGGGACAGGGCAATCATTCAGCTGCATTGAAAGAGATGTCCACTATAAGTGAGTATTTGAGGGACTAACTTCCATATGGAGCTGGATGGAAGCAGGATTGTGGCAAACTCAGGAAACCCAGCAGTCCAAGAGCAGATAGGAACCCAGCAGCCACTTCCAACCCAAACACAATCCAAACATCAGCCTGTCCTTTAGCCAGGAACCGAAGCCATCTCCTCTTTCCTTGGAAAGAAAATAAAGCAAAATTAAAAAAGCCCTTCCTCTTCTTGTAGTTGGAGAGCTGCCAGTTTGTAAGTGCTAACTGTGATTTCAATTTCTCTCTTCAGTGGCTGGAAAGTGCTCACATTTTTGGCTCTGTCCCAGCTGACCTGACCCCTCTGACTTCCTACATCACATGAAAACCCTCCCTCAGGCTCACACTGGTGACGGGGTCATAAAAAAGCACGGAAAGGGGAAGGAGGAGAAGGATGGGGAAGGAAGAGAAAGGAATGATTAAGCAAAGCAATAGCCAGGCACCCAGATGAAGATCTATCTGGGTGATGAAGCTGCAATAAATGTGGCACATCAGAGCTTCCCTATGAATGGTCGGGGCAAAGATATATTTTTCTGGATGTGAAAGAGTGGTTTAAAAACGACTCCGAGCCCACATTTCCTCCCCCCGACAAAAGGAGGAAAAATCGTCCGAAGTGTAGCAGGTTATTGATTTTTTATAAGCCAGGGACAAATTTATCGGAGAGAAAAGTTCATTATTTAGTCATCCCCCAGCTCAATCTGCTCCCCTGGCCATTAACCCGCGGCAGCTCCCGTGATAAACTCCCCGTGAACCCTCTCCCTGTGCTGCCTCAGTGAACTGCAGATGGATTTTGCTGAGCGCTCCCTCGGCCTCTCCTGGATATTCATCCAGATTTTTTTTTGCTGACACGGATCCCAGCTCCCCTGGGTGCCCCTGCA